ATGTTGAATTTTAAGAAAATCGGATTTTTGAATTTTTTCGAATTTTTGATAATTTTAGATTTTTTACCAAAGAGTCGAGACAATTTAATGAGTAAAGTATTTTCCACATTAAAAAGTTTGACATTAAAAAATATATAAATGATGCCAATACTTAACCCACAAAATTTAATTTTCATTACAAACAAATGAATGCAGATAATTTGCTAACGGAAAGGAAACTTACGATTATTATAATGTATTAAATTCCTGAGAAGAATTTGATTATTTATAAAAATAATTGAATTCTTGTTACGAATTTTATAAAAATCTATTTAAATAATTAAATTTTTTTCAAAAAATATTAGGAAAATTCTTTTTTAAATAATTGAATAAACATTCAATTTGCAAAGAATTGAAAACAATTTTTTTTGAATTATTCAATTCTTTTGAAAAATTTTTTATTAAAGTAGCAGCAATTCGTAAAAAATTAGTAAATAGTAGGTTTTAGTGGATGAGTGCGAGGTCTGGAAATATGAATTAGAAAAAAGTCCTTTTTTGATTGCTATAAATATTTTTAATTTTTACTTTTTGAAAGCAAAATCACAGCTACATAAGATGTGGTTTAATAATAATATAATAATAGACGATATTAATTAATTAATAATAGATAAAGTTATATAATAATTCCTCTTTCATACATCAGATATCGTTTAATACTAAGGACCGTACGATGTTATTCTAGTTCCAAATAGTACTAATACATTAAACACTAAACGTGTCTCGATTCTCGGTTTTGTCGATATATCGCACTCATTTTCTAAAATGTTTTTTTTACGGGTGTTTTTTTTATTAATTTGCAGTGCAAATTTCTTAACGACATTATTATAATAACGGACGCTTTTTGTCTTTTTTTTGTTTGTTTTCTTTTCTTAAAAACTTCATTAACTTGTGTCTTTTTTCTTACACGTACATATATTTATATATTTATATATTTATAATATATCGTCATTTTTTACAATCGTACGCCTTAAAATTTGTCTTTCTTTTTTTTTTATTTTTCTTTTCTTTTTTTTTCTTTTATTTCATCGCACCTTTTGAAAAAAAACCCTCTCTATCAATAACGTCTTATCTTTAAAAATTTCACAAAATAACATAACTGTGATAAAATAATAAAATATTTGTAAAAACAATTTAAAAATTTAAAAAATTTTAAAAATATATTTAAAGCTATCGAATTTTTCGTAGAAAATATTTTTCGTATACTTACATACATAATAAAAGTAGGTATATAATAATATAATAAAAAATTAAAAAAAGAACAGTTGATGTATTAATTTAGAATATATTTTTTTTAATAACATTTTTTTTCTAATGAACGATAAGACGTTATTAATAACGGTATATAATATTCTATTTTCAATCGCTCAAAAAAAAGTGAGTTTTATACTCTAAATAAATATTTTACAAATATTTTTTTCTTCCTCCCCCATTTGTCTTTCGCTCGCTCGCCTTTTTTTTGCTTAGCTAGGAATTAATAATGATATAAATCGCGATTATTCGCGAAATTTTTCTTTTTTCGTTTAACTCTTGTGATATGGCACTCATATGGCTGGCTAACCTTAGCCACGTAGAAATACGACTTTTCATTTGGACACGAAAGTCGAGCTCGGGGACTCCAATTTCTGTCATTAGATATGTTTGGAAAATTGCAATAGAATTTTTTGATTTTTCTGTCTATTTTACTTTTTTGTGTATAATATCGAATTTAATTAAGAGATTTAAACAGAGATTATCGAGTTGCCACAGGTCAGGGAATTCAGGGAAAAGTCAGAGATTTTTATTAAAGTACTGGAAAAAATTAAATTTGCAGGATTCATAATTAGTTTTGTTTTATTTTTTAATATATATTTAATTAATTATAAAAAATAATGTATTTATAGAAAAATTTTAGTTAAAAACACTAAAAAAAAATTGTATTTTAGAAAAGTTATAAATGTTTGCGAAAATTCAATTTTGTTCAAAAATTAAAAAAAAATTCTACTCAAAATTTCAATTATCTTTAAAAACAATAAAATTGAATTATTTTTATAAATAATAAACATTTCACAGGAATTCAACTATTTACAAATTTTTATAAATTTTTTCGCAATAATTCAATTCTTTTCATAAATAATACATTTTTTTTTTACAAAGATTCAATTATTCTTTCAGGAATAATAAAACTCATCATAGAATTTCAATTATTTTTAATACAATTTTAACCAAATTCCTCGAAAAATTTATATCTTCTTGAAAATTTTATAAAAATTCTTCCAAAAAATTCGATTATTTAAAAATTTGTTAATAAATTTCTTTATGAGAATTCAATTTTGAAAAAAATTCATTTATTCAATAATTTTTTCATTTTTTTATTTAAATAATTGAATTCTCATAGAATTTTCTAATAAAAATTGTTTTAAAAATAAATATCAGATGAAAATTAAAAAAAATTGATAATTGTTCATTTAATTCTTTCAAAAAATTTTAATTAAATTTTTGAAATTAAATTAATTTTTCGAAGAATTTACTTAAAATTTTATTAAAAATAATTAAAATCCTGAGTAGAATTTTATTATTTATGAAAACAATTGAATTTTTGTCACCGAACTTTAATAAAGTTTTTAAAATAATTGCATTCTTGAGAAGAATTAAAAAAAAATCTTTTTAAAGAAGAATTTTATTAATTTTTTTTTAAATAATTGAATTCTTGCAAAGAATTTTATTAAAATTTTTAAAAAATAATTTAATTCTTAGGAAGTTTATTATTTCTTTAAAAATAATTGAATTCCTGCGATGAATTTTATTATTTATGAAAATATTTGAATTTTTGCAATGAATTTTATTAAAATTAAAAAAAATTTGAATTCCTGAGAAGAATTTTGTTATTTTTAAAAATAATTGAATTGTTAAGAAGTTTATTAATTTTTTTTTTAAATAATTGAATTCTTGCATAGAATTTTTAAAAATTTCTAAAAATAAGTGAATTCCAGCGAATAAATAATTGATTTTTTTCGAAAAATATTAGGAAAAATTTGTTTTAAATAATTAAATAAACATTCAATTTGCAAAGAATTTAAATAAATTTTTGCAACGATATTTCTTACATTTCTTTTAAATAATTGAAATCCTGTGTAGAATTTTATTATTTAGGACAATAATTGAATTTATTATTTATGATAGTAAAATTGAATTCTTACAACGAATTTTATTACAATTTTGTAAACAATTGAATTGATGTGAAAAATTGAAAATAATTGAATTCTTGCGAAGGATTTTATTGAAATTTTTGTAAATAATTTAATTTTTTTTTAAATTTTATAAAATTTTTAATTATTATAAAACATGAAGAAGGTTTAAATTTGAGAATCAGAATATTCTTTTGGGTCAGGGAAGAAGTCAAAATTTTGTCTGGACATCAGGGGAAAAGATAATTAATTTTTTGTGGCAACCCTGGATTAAAAAAGAGATTATAGAAGAGATTATAGAAGAAGAATAAAAAAGGGTTTGAAAAGAAGATTAAGAAAGAAAATTTGATATTGAGATTAAAAAAGAGAAGTTACAATTGCGAAAAAGCGTAAATCAACGGGCTAAGATGGATGACTATCAAGATCAACGTGTGTATGTATTTCCTATGGAATGCTACTATTAATAGTAAAACAATTAAGACTATCAACTTGCGGTTGTCTCTTTGTCTTTTATCTCATAAAAACGTGTTTCAGTTAATACGCCTCTGAATTTATGTTTTTGATTTTTAATCCTATTTCTGTTGCTTCATCAAAAAGAATTTTATTTCTGATTTTTGTGTCTTTTGATAATTTTACTGTTTTGTGTTGGAATTTTAGTTTTGTGGTTAAATATTTAGTGCTTTTTTTGAAAGAATATTTTTTGTGGACTAAAATTATTTTCCCCTCTTTCAAACCAGTTTGAAAGAGCTAACTAAAAATTGAGAAAAAAGTAAAACTTTAGAGACGTTTTTATAGAGTCGGTGAGTAATTTGTCTCAACTTCTTTAATTAAGGCACTAACATCGTACGTTTTTTATTTATTTTTTTTTAAATAGAATTATCGTCTTTTTTGATCGGCACAATAATATTGTACATAACCTGAATATCTTCTGAGTTGTAATCATCACCCTTCCTCTCTATTTAACAATTGCTTTCGTCGATCTTTGCGTTATTAATGTGTTTACAGCCGTTGCACGAGTATATAAATATGCGTTGCTAAGGCACGGTCCTACGTTTGAAAAAATTCTAAAGGCACCCTAGCGCGTTGTTAGCGAGTTTTGCGATTTCCTACTACCACTACACTCTATTACAATCCTCAAAAAAATATTGTTTTTACATTCGAAAATTTTTTTCTTTCCTTTTACATCGAAATTCTAGTTCTCTGTTTTCTTTTCTTTATCTCCGCATAAAAGTATAGAATAAAAAAAATGTACAACCCAAAAATCCAGAGGGCCTGGCGGAAGAAAGATCTATAAAACGAAAGTGTACAGGATCGTTTCCTCTTGAGCATCCTTTTTTGTAAGGAACAATAAAAGCACGAGAATCTAGCTTAAAAACGATTATACACAAACATGTACACATTTAAAAAAAAAACCTTTGTCTTTCGAAAATCTCACAATCTCTTCTTTTTTTTGTCTTTCTTTTTCTTAATTATCATATCACGTTTGTCTTTCTCTCTCTCTCACTCACTCGAAATTACTTTGCCATCTCTTATCGTTTTTTGCTCCTCTCTCGGCTGGCAGTCTTTTTTTTTGTAATTATTAAAACGTTCCACAATACTGTTTATAATACGATTCTACAAAAACTTTTTGGACACTACCAAAAAAGCTCTATCTTTAGTACGATAAGAGTGTGACCATTCAAAGTTGAAAACGCATGGTATTGCATTGTTTTTTTTTTTGTTTCGTCGCTCGTGAAAAGATGTTTTTTTTCATTATTTTTATAATCTTTGTCATTCGATAATCGCTTCATTTCTTCGAAGTTTGTTTTTTTTTTGAGAAGAAAGAAAGAAGCTTTGCTAAAAGTTTAAATACAATTTGCTCATGACGATGATCGAATTGACTCGTATACTAATTCATGACTTCCGATCGAGATTTCTGCAAATATTTCGATCGGCCTATAATTCTCTATTTGATAATCCTTTGTTTCTATAACTATATAATACATTTACTATCTAGGGGGGGGGGGGTACTATGTACTAAAAATTAGGTCGATGTTACACATGGGCCTTTACTATTTTCTATACACCGAGAGCGTTTAAATTTACACATTTTTCTCTCTCTTAAATACGTTACAATTTGTCTTTTTCGTGCTAAAGCTATTAATATATTTCTTCTATTAATATTCATTCTTCCATTTGATTTATTGTCTTCGTCAGCTTCTTTTAAAATTCAACCCAAATTTCTTTAATAGTTTACCCAAAAATTTCTTGAGGAATGTCTGGGATGAGAAGGCTTTTTCAAATGTCGAAAAGGCGCGAACCAGTTTTGTGCTAAAAAAAGACTTGGAGTTCTAAAGTAGTTTTAGTCCTTAGCTCAGTCCAATTAGTAAATTCAGTTCTGAAATTCAGTTTTGAGTCTCAACCGTCCATATGTCTGTATTTGTGGGCAGACATTTGCGCTAAACCAAGTACGGCGTATTGACACTGAAGACAGTGATAGTGGGTTTGCTTTCCTGAATGTTGACACTGAACGGCTCCGCAAGGTTGACTGGGTGTGAATTTTTGAAATCCGGCAGCCGCGATACTGTCTAATTTGGCATGTTGTCTTCTGTGAGCGACAACTTTGTTCGTGTCGGTGCAAACGAAATCGCACTTCAAACAATGAAAATGAGATGCTTTGTTTTGCATTGAACCCAGGGAGGAGGTGTAGGCGCACTGAGCTCTTCCACAAGGGACATTTGCGCGGTATTGTTGAAAATCGCCACCCATGAGTGTGTCGAGACGTTCGTGTCTTGCGGTGTGTTGCACGAATCTTGTCTTGTCGCAAAATGAATAGCCGCAGTCCTGTCGCATGCAGTGAAAGTGAGTCTGATGTTCCCGGTATCCGCAGTGAGGATATCGGCAGTCTTCATTAAATCGGAATCTCACGTAGCCGTCGGGGACAGGTTCGTCCTTGAGCATTCGCATTGAATGATGGAGTCGTTGTTTCTTGGCATCAATGGAATTGTCGGATGGTGATAGAGATCTTTTTAGGTTCAGGTTCGCTGCTAGGGAAGCGAGAGGGTTTTCGTCTCGATTTGGTGGGAGGAAATTACCAGGCGGGAGACCTGGGGCAAACATTAGACCTGGAGCACCGGGATACATACTGCCGTGTTGGAGAAATGGTGGTAGTGCCTGATTGATCAGGGCGATTTGCTGATTCATAGCGGCCATGACGGCAGGATTTGGAAAATGGAAACCGTGACTGAGATCTAGTTCAAAACCGGGTGGTACTTGTTGAACACTTGGCGGAAGAGGTTGGGAGATTTGTCCATTCTCGTTGTCGTGAGTGTTGGTGCTACTATCGTCCCTTAGATTCTCGTTTGATTCACGTTTTATTGGATTTATCTGATTGTTGTCATTGCTCAGCCTTGGACTTTCTAGTTTTATCTCTTTGGCTTGGGGCTGCTGGTTTATTTGTCCTAGGGTTTGCTGCATTTGACGCTGCATTTGATTTTGGAAATTGTGAATATTCTGGGCCATGAAGTCATGCTTTTGCGACAGTTGAGCGAGGTAGTCGTGCTGTATGTGATTCGATGCTTGAGGCGTTATTTCGTGCTGCTGTTGACTCAGGATAGCTCCTGTTGAATGCTTCGCAATGTGGGCGACCAGACGGTCCAATTCGGAGAAGGCCTGATTGCATGCATTGCAATGGTAGTGGTTCTTCCTCTTTAACTTGCAGAATGGCCTACTGCAACTTTGATCTGGTCCGTAGAGTATGTGCGGCGAGTTCGAACTGGTTGATGGAATCACTTGAGTCTCTAGAAAAGGAAAACGGTTTTTACGATTAGAACAAGTTCTTTTGCTTATCAAAAAAGTTTCTCTAAATTCTAAAGCAATATCACGAAGTTGTATAAGAAGATAGGTATCAGGCTTTTGGAACTTTAGACACACCAAGCTTTTATTCAATGTCCTTAACCTGATCCAGAGTTTCAGAATAGTATTTTCGTGTCATCTAAATAATCATTAGTCAGTCTAGCCCAAATTGGTGACTTCTAAAAACCCATTTATGGAGTCCTTTAACGACTCCTGTTTTTAAAGCTTAAGGTCTCCTTAGACGACTTCGTGAGGTATTTTCAGCCACGAGACTGAGAGTTTTTAATCAATGATTTTGATTCGAAAAGCCCTCAGTCTGCAATTGGCGTTAATTATAACTACTAATAAAAAAGCACTGAAAACTGGTCGGAAGACACGAACCTTGGTGCACGGTAGTTCGCATGGATAGCATGGCGCCCGGAAGAGCGGGTTCGCTCGGCGGTCCACTAACCGGATAATAGGTGCCTGCCGCCCTCACCACTAGCAACAATCAACCAAACAACCAAAACTTCAAATACCTCCCACTATAATACAACCACCGTGTAAAGTAGAAAAAGAATTCTCAAACACAAAAAAACTGAATATTCGAAATAGAACAGTAAAGTAAAAAAACTCTTTTAAATTCTAAAGTTTAAATTTTTGAGTGCGTCTCTACGTGCAAAATTAGCATGCATAAATGTGTTTCTGTTTTTTATATTTTATAAAGAAAAAAAACTACCAAACGAAACTCTTTTGTATAAATATTGGGTTGCGCAATTTTCAGTTGAAACTCACCCGTGGTTTTGTTTGTATCTGGACTAGGAATTTGAGGTTGTTCCTTGTCGTCGATAATTGATCGGCTCTCTTCCATGGTATCCATTTCTTGTTTTTCGATTAATTCGGCAGGGTTCTTGACTTGGATTCTCGGTTTCGACTCCTGAACCAAAGACTGAGGGAGAATTTGTGGTGGCTCTTGAGTTTGCTCGGAACTTTGTTGTTCACCAGTTCCATGATGTTGCTTCTCATGAAGGGACATTGTCGAGTATCGAACAAAGGAATATCCACAATTTGGTCTGGTGCAGTGAAAATGTCTGTTTACTCGATTACTATGACAGCCGGGCAATCGACAATCGATCATCTTATCGAAGAAGGCGAATCCTGGTAAAATGTCAACATTATCGTGAAAGTCCTTGCTGTGCATAAGCAGTTGATCGGGTCTTTCTGTGGAGAAATGACATCGAATTTGGGAGCAGTGATGATGCCTTGTGGTTCTTAGAGAACAAGCGGAGTCGGGACAACCCTCTGAAGTGTATGTTACGAATCCCTCTGTTTCACCGACGCTGTTGGTTGGGGAGAGACTTCCTTCTCTCTCGTCCGAAATTGTATTTATGGTTAGAGTTGGTGTGGTGGGTTTGGGTAATTTAAAACTGGTGAATATTGCTTGAGGGGAATCTTGAGTGTGGGATGTGGGATCTCCACCGGACCAGATTTCGATTACTCTATTCTTTGGTGGTCTTCCTCGTTTCCGCCTGAACATTGCGTCGATGTTTGTTAGATGGGTTAGGGTGACGTCGGGTGAGAGGGCATGAGACGTGCAGGAGAGATCGAGTTGTCTGCTGTACTCGTGAATTTTGTAGTGTTGCAGTCTTCTGAAAGGTTTGTCGGTGGCGAGAATAACTTCGCGACAGTTCTCCCAATTGCAGTGGTAGTGTTTTTCTTTGTCGAAGTAGGGACAGGTGTCGTCGCAACCGCCTTCTTCGAAAAAGGCGTCAGTGATTCTTTCTTGTTGTTCGTGTTCGCGTAGGTGTTCGCGAACTTCACGTGGGTCTCGGAGGGTTGCGCCGCAACGATCTAGGGCGCAGTGATGATGTTCCCGGCCAAATTGACAGGAGCAGTCGGCTGAGGCCGGTGCTAGGAAGGCCAATTCGACGGGAGTTAATTGTTGTTGAAGTTGGATGGGGGAGGCTTGTTCGATACTCTGGGAAGCGTTAATTGCTGACGATGGACCAGTGGATGAGGAAGTGAGATCCATTGCCAGGTCACTGGCACTCTGAAAGGAATCGTCCATTGAGTAGAAGGGGGATCCTCTTCCTTCGTTCGAACTTTCGCCATTGAGACTGAGGGAGAGACTCTGGGAGCTGATCTCGTCTGGCATCCACGTGCCAGGCGGTCGTATACTTCCGGTGGCACCGAGTTGTTTATATTTCCTGTAAGCTAACTCTGAATCGTTCCGTTCGTGTTTGCGCTTATGGGAGATTAGCTGACCTGAGGAGTGAAGGACATAACTACACTGGGGTCTTATACAATGGATATGATTGCACACTTTCGAGAACCTACACTGCTCGAAGGGACATGCTTCGGACTTCATGAATTTCTTGAAACCGTCACGCGTAAATTGTTCGTCTTTGATGTGATATGACTTGTGCTTGTCTGAAAAATAAAAAGAAGGATATTTAGTTGAATGCTCAAAGAAGAATAATACCTCAAGAAGAAAAGCAAGACTGAGGGCTAGGTTAGAATATTCATCACTGATTTTTGATTTTAATAATACTACTTTTTTCTTTCTTTTTGTTCTGAACATTGTTCTGTAAACTCAAGATCTATCTTTTGAAAAACTAGCCTTACCCATGTCAGCTTTGTTCTTGAAGGTGTACCGACAACCCTGTCGTCGGCAATGAAAATGTGTGGTCCTCTGACCAGCAAACGAACAATGTTCAGCCTCGCAGCTTTCGGTGGCTCTGAATCTTTGGAAGCCTTCCTGGATGATGGCCGAATCCTTTCGATGATAGTTGGCGTGCATCTGGACGTCGGACGTTGAAATGTAGACTTTATCGCAATTGTCGTGAATACAGTGGTAGTGGGTCTGCTTTTTGTTGTGGGGACAGCTTCTGCTCGGGTGCCTCTCAGCGCAATCGTCAGTTGGCGAATATCTCATGAAACCGTGTTGGAGAGATTCATCCCTCTTCTTGTGCCACTTGAAGTGCCTAATCATTTCCTCTTTCTTGATAAATACTCGTCCACTGCAGTCTAAGCAGTGGAAATGCTCTCTGCATCCAAGTTCTTTACAATAGGCACTTCCACATTCTTGTCCGCTTGAATACCTTCTTACGTAACGAGAGTAGTCAATGATGGGCTGGGGAATTGATTTTCCACCGCTCATCAGGTTCTCTGCCCCTGGGGACATACTCTGTCTGAGAAGAGCTGAAACAAAAATGATTGCTTTCTGTTAAGAATAATCTTTTTTGTTATAGAAATAGTATTAAATTGTTACTTTAAATTTTTCTCCATCAGTTTTGGTATTGAGGACAAAATTCTTTATCCTGTGCTAGGGTCTCAATGTGGACTAATTGTAAGTTTGAAATATGGACTAAGTTCTTAAAAATATGGACTTCTAAAAATCTAGATTTAGTTATGTTAACAATGTGGCCTAAAATTTTAAAAGTGTTGACAGTTCATAAAAGTTTGGATTAAGTTCTAAAAATCTAGACTTAGTTGTTAACAATGTGGACTATTTTTAAAAATACTTCATAAAAATGAGACTAAGTGCTAAAAATCTAGGTTTAGTTATTAACAATGAGGACTAGATTTTTAAAAGTTGATTTAAAAATTGTATACTGACTTCTAAATGGACTAATTTTTTAAAATTAACTTAGTGCTTAAAAAAGTGGACTAAGTTTTAAAATTAGAGTAAAGATTTAAAATATTATAGACATAGTTTTTAATAAGGGACCATCCATAAATTACATTAATAATTTATGGGGGAGGGGGTACAACAATTAAAAAAATTACATGGGGGGAGGGGGTCTAAAAAGTCTGAAAAATTGGTAAATGGTTTCTGGAATTGGTTTATGGACGGCCCCCAATGTGGACTAGATTTTTAAAAGGATTGACTTAGTTTTTAAAAATTTGGACTATGTTCTAAAAAACGTGGGCTAAGTTATTAAAAAGTGCACGATAATATTTAAATTGTAATGACATTTGGCTCTCTTAATAAAAATATCAAAATCTTGAGGAGATAAGCTAATGTCTCTGGAAAGTATACCTTTGGACCGATTAGCCTACAAATCAATATGACAAGATTTATGGCTAACAAGATTGCAACCTAAATGATTTACTTCCGACTAGACGGCGAGAGGTATTTGGACTTGAACCTTTGAAACGTATGACAATTTTTTTCCGTTAGTGATCTCTAGTCAAATAAGATACACGAATTACATAAAAGTTACAATTTCATGAGAAAAAAAGTTATTTATTAGCATAATATTAACATGATTTCTTAACGAACTTGATTTCTTTTAATTTTAAGTATAATATCAATTTTCTATTTTTTATTTATTTTTTTAAATTAATTAACAATTCTGAACAATTTATCAAATTATGATTTACGAATCATTTGATAAATGATTCGTTAAATCATTTGATAAATTGTTCGGAATTGTGTCGGAACGTACTATGATAAAGAATCGACGGTGGATAAATGTTAGCTTCTAAATGGAAGAAATCCTTATTGTCGGTCGTGGAAAATTACAGAAATTCGACTGTTAAAGTAGATTTCTATTTTCTACATTATCGACAAATGTTGAGAGAATATGAGTTCATGAAAAAGTTGTTTGGTGTCGTGTGAGTTTGAAAATATAGTAATTTTTTTCGATACACATATCAAGAGTTATGAGCACATCGTTCGTCGACCCATGCTCTCTCCCACATATGCTAGTTAGGAGAGTTTGAAAACTGGTTGGCTCGTTCGAATCGCGAAATAAAAGGGAATGCGCAAAAAGGAGAACAGAGGAGAGGAAGGGAGGAATGCCCCGAACAAAAAACTATCGTCTGATCACAAAATATATACGTGTATGCAAAACCCAAGCGAGAGCTCATTTTTAATATCAAGTCGTGTATATCTATTTAAATTTTTCATTACGGTTTGGAAAAAAAAAATTTGTCGAGTTTTTGTTTTGATTAATGATTCGAGTGTAAATGGACACTTTATCATTTTAATTAAAGAAAAAAAATGGGACTAAGTTGAGTTAATAGAAAATATTTTCGCTTCGAGGCAAAAAAATTAGTTTGCGAAGAAGAGTCAATACAGAAATTATTGGTTTTTTTCAAAAAATTTTAAAAGTGGGAGGAACCAGAGGGACTTCCCTCTTTGTTGTTGTATGGAAACATTATCTTTTCTATAGATCGAGCCACGCACTGGAAGAGATCGTACAATATGTAAAATATATGTCTACTCGTGATTATAGTCTGCAAAACACGAGAAAACTCACTTTGCAATGTCGTAAGATCAATCAAGCAAAACGCATTGTTTTGCTGCAGTAAAGTCTTTTCTTTAACGCAACTTACGAGATTGATTCATTGGCTTCTGCAGTAAATTTCGTTTTCTTGCTTTTTGAACCCCGATAATAAATTTTGTGTACACCTTTTCTTTTAAACTGTCAACAGTGTCGTAAAATTTGATTTGTAATTTTAATCGAAAATTATCCCCTTAGAAAATGGAAAGTTGTACGACATAATATTACATCTAAATTTTTAATTCCGCACGTTTTAACGAACAAACTAAATTCATTTCTGAACTAAATTTATTAAGAAAAGGTTGATAATTATAATGCTTCAAAAAGGTGGAGTTGTATTCATTTTTGGAATGGGGTGAATTTTGTGGAAAAAGTTTGTTGATTTCTTGTATCAATTTCGGGCAGTTAGCGTAAAATCGATACAATTAGATGAAGAAGGAGGTAAACAGAAAGATCGTTTCGGTTTGTAAAGTGTCTGACGCTCGACATAACGATGCTCATCCTTTCTCCCTCCCACCCTTTGAGAAAGATTGCAAACGCCGGCTTTGATCACGACAAGAAAGGAAAACCACAAGAAACCGGAGAAGGATGATATCGGACCAAGTTCCTTCTCTTTCTCTCTCTCTTTCTACCTTCTTTTGCCGAAATTACCGAAACGCCAAACAATCTTTCAAGAAGACGCGCAAGAAGGCACCTAATGCTCCCGAAGACGCCGGAGTTCCGTTTTTGAATCAAGATTTTGCAGTATCTACACTCGAAGTACGCGGACAAATATGTTACATATTCCATGAGAAATGTTCTCTTTCGAAGAGCTTTTGATTGCGAGTGGAAAAAGAAATTCTCCCCACACAGAGATAACAATTTAAAACTTATATGCTTGGGAATTCTTGTTACTTCACGTGAAAGTATTTTGGGAAAATTTTTCTGAAATTCAGACTTTGCACTCATCTACTAAAACCTACTATTTACCACTTTTTTATGTTATGCTATACTATTTGCATTGAAAAAAAATTATTTTATTCAAATAACCGATTAATTGACTATTATCAATTAAATATTTACTTGAATCAAATAATATTTATTGGAGTCAATTAAATGGTTCAATTCATATTTGACTCAATAATTTTAGTATTTGAAGCAAATATGAAGGGAACCATTTAATTGACTCCAATAAATATTATTTGATTCAATTAAATTCTTTAAAACAAATTCTTTAAAAAAATTCTTTAAAATGATTCAATTGTTTTAAAAAAACATTCGAAATTCAATTATTTTTAATATTTAGTATTTTGATAACATTTCTCAAAAGAATTTAATTATTTAAAAAAATTGTTTATAAGATTCTTCGCAAACATTCAATTAGTTTCATAAATAAAAAAATTTTCACATCAGGAATTCAATTAATTTAGAATAGCATTTTCAAAAAAATTTCGAAACAATCAATTTAACAAAATTTTTATACAACAGAATAATTCATATACTTTCACTAATAATAACATTTTTTCGTTGAAATTCAATTTAAAAAAAAAATCTTTAATAGAATTTTAAGGAAGAATTGAATTATTTTCATAAATAATAAAAGTCATCGAAGAATTTCAATTATTTTTACTGCTATTTTAAATTATTTAATCGAAAAATTCAATTATTTTCACAAATAAAGTTTTCCAGAAGAATTTAATTATTTAAAATAAAATTTTTATAATATATTTAGTTCATAGTTTGAAAAAATTAATGATTTAAAATAATGTTTATAAAATTCTTATAAAAAATTCAATTATTCTCAAAAATAACAAAATTTTTCAAAGCAATTTAATTTTTTTCAAATATTTTAATAAAATTGTTCGAAAGAAATTAATTATTTAAATACAATTTTATTTAAATTTTTTTGAAATAATTCAATTATTTTTTTAGATTTTAATAAAATTCTTGCCAAGAATTCAATTATTTACATAAATACCTAATTTTTCGAAAGAATTCAATTATTAAAGATAAATAACAAAATTATTCCCGAAAATTTAATTATTTTGAGACATTTTAATAAAATTCTTTGCAAAATTTAATTATTTTCATAAATAACAATATTTATCACAAGAACTACATTATTTTTAAAAGTAATAAATAATTTATTAATATTAATTTATTAATAAATAATAAATAATTATTATTTATTGGAAATTCAATTATGTTCAGAATTTAAAAAAAATTGTTGTCAAAATTCCAATTATCTTTATAAGTAATAAAATTCTTGGTAAAGTTTCAATTATTGTCAAAAATATGCCTTAATTTATTGATTTTCAATACCTACTATTTTAATAAAATTTTCCAAAAGAATTCAATTATTTACAAATTTTTTATTTTCATATAGAAATTATTTCATTATTTTCAAAAAGAGTAAAATTGTTTTTACGAATTCAATTATTTTAATAAAAATAATAAAATTCTTCGGAGAATTTCAATTATTTTTAATACAGTTTTAATCGAATTCCTTGAAAAATGTAATTATTTTTAAAAAGTTTATTAAAATTCGTCGAAAGAATTCAATTATGTAAAGTTTTATTTATTTTTCTATTTTTAAATAATTGAATTCTCGTAGAATTTTCAAATAAAAATTGATTTAAATATGGATTTAATTTAAAATTCTAAATAATAATTGAATATGAAAAGCATTATAGGATGAATTTTTAGAAATAATTGAATTTTCATAAATAATAAAATTCTTTTTAGGAATTTAATTATTTTCAAAAAAATATAATAAAATACCACACAGACATTCAATTATTGTCAAAAAGTTTAATTGAATTCTTTGTAAAATTTAATTATTTTTAAAAACTTTTCCCAACTTAATGATTTTTAATATCTACTTTATTTTCATAAAATTTCCAAATAGAATTCAATTATTTAAAAATTTTT